AATTTGAGAATTGGGTGAGAAGGTTTTGGCTCCTCCATATAAGCATCAATGGGATCAAATTGGGAACTATTTTTTTTATCAACTTTGAGTTTTGATTCAGATTTTGGAGGAAAGCTTTGAAAAATTTATGTTGTCGAAAAACTCAGATCTTCTCTTATCTTGTTATTTAGCGGGCCTGGAAATTTTTTCTGTTCAAAATATACAGCAACGTTCATTGTTTTTTGTTTTCACGGTCTTTCATCAAACTTAGGTGATTTGAGATACAAAAAGACTACTCGTATCAAGGCGAAGCCCTGAATGTTCCGACTGCCTTTTACGTCATATGGAGCAGTAATGACATGAAAATTTTTTAAACTTCAGATTTGTTTGTAAAAATCATACCCCAACACGCCATCTGAAGTACGAAGTGATAAATTTCGCTCCTAGTAACAATTAATTTATGGCCAATAAGCTTCGTTCAACCAATGTGTTACAATCTTTAAGATGGATAAATCTCCGCTTACGCCTTAATGGCGCAAAATATATCGCTGGTTAATTGTCTCTAATTGGCCAAAGTTGCAATCAATCTTGAAACCCCCATAACTTTACAAAAAATGATCACATGTGAACTATCTTCGCCAATTTAAGCTCAGAACAATAATAGCTTTCGATTGATATAAAAAAATTGCTAGTTAAAAATTCGAAATTTGTCTGCAGAAAAAAACCACCCCGAGCACAAATATTCCATTACTTTCGTTATGAAAGTCGGAACAAAAAAGAACATTTAATTCTCTAAACTTAAAACAAATTACAACTGCTCGTATCAGGGTATAGCCTTGAATTTCCGGCGGCCTTTAAGGTCTATGGAGCAGTAGTAAGAAGAAAAGAATATGAGATTTTTTTGTGCAAATCATCACCCCACACGCCATAAAAAGAACAAATTGATAAAAAATGCTTCTTTTAACAAATCATTTATGGCAAATAAACTTCCTTGAACCTATTTGGAACGCTTTCTAAAACGGATTAAATCTCCGCTAGCGCGATATCGCGCGTTAATTGTCCCAAATTGGCCAAAATGGCAATCTTTAAACCCCCATAACTTTACGTCAAAAATGGCTAATTAGAAAGTCGAAACTTATCTGAAGAAAATAAACCCATCCGAGCACAAATATTCTGTTGCTTTCGTTACGTCAGTCGGAACAATAAACAACAACTAAACCTTCAAGTTTTTTGATTGAATTTGAAGAGTATTTTCAGGAAAAGCTACTAACAAGCAGGTGGCTGCAAAATCTAATAATAAATAGAAACTAAACTTAACTGTTGAAATGATCTTTTGAAATGAAATTGAAATTAGCTGAAAAATTATCTTCAGAAAAACTTGAAAACAAGGTATCATTAATTCAATTGCTATATGAGTTAAACTAACCATTTTTGTGTGTTTGAAAAAGCGTATCGTTCTAGTATTACCTTTTGTTCCCGGCTTTTTTGTTTGGTGCTTTTTTCTTCCGATTTTTGAAGAAAACGAAGTACTTAAGCTTGGAGTGGTTTTTTTATTCAGTCAATTATCAGGGATCGAAAGGAGCGCTGTTTCTTACAATTGATTTTTGATTTATCCAGAATTTATAGTTTTTAAATAGTTTATTTTCCTAAAATCTTGTCGTATAACTTAGGATTGTTTGCCAAGGCATTTTGAAAACTTCTCGAGCTATTAAAAAACTATTCTGTATCGTCAAACAATACTCCATAAAATTGTAATTCATTTTGAGTTTTTGAAAGTTAGTCGAAAACTTCAAAAACAAAACATTTGCAAATTTCCTGCTGCAAATTTCTGGTACTAAAGAATTCAATCAAAGGGTTTGCACAATTTGCAATTTAAGCAGCACATCTATAGCTTATCAGCTTCTTCAAACCATTAGGAAACATAATTAATTCCAAAATAACAAATTCACTAGCAAAATAGCATAATTTAACAGCAATAGGAGGCATTTAGCGTAATCGCAAGGCGTTCACATGACCTCTAGCTTCAGATCTACCTCAGCATGATCGATATCGGCTGCAATAGTGGTACAGCGTGAAAGCTTAAGACTCAAAAAATGGCCTTGAGTCGTATAAAAAAAGAGCTCCACGCTACAAAACAACTCTGTCCGATAAGTGGGGTAATAAGAGAAACGTACTATGCTTATACAGGCTGGATAACTTTTCATAGATCCTCTGCGAATCGCAGAAATTACAAAAAACGTATTTAGAAACATTATGCTTACTAGATTTTGCGCATGCTTTTGCTCAGAAAAATACATCTAGTTTTGCAAAATGGTTGAATATGTCAAATTATCAGTCTGTTAGTTTAATCATCTCGGATTTATTTATACTTTCACAATTTTGGATGGTTGATGATGGTACTTAATAGAAGTGAGTGGTGTTGGAGTTGTTATGTCTTTGCCTCTCAATCGTAAGGTCGGACGTTCGACACCCGTGCTCGTTGCTTGAGGATAAGAAAACACTACCCAGCCTAAAAAGAAAGCCTCAAAAATAGCTTGGGACACAAGTTTTTAAACAGGGACACAAAGTTTCTGAACAGTTGGGATGTTGGTTTTTCCCTTAATGTTGGGTTTTTCCCTTTAGATAAATTGTCTTAAGCGATGATTGTCTGCACCTTCATTTCTTCCAAGCCGAACCATGAGATTTTTTTAATTCCATTTCGCACACCTCAAAAAACCTCCATATTGACTAATTGGATTATGGTATCATATAAAAACACTGACAGTCATGGTTCACTTTTGGAAAATTTAGTCTAGAAAAACTTTATCTCAAGGAAAGATGGTCTGAAGTTTTGTCTGAAAGAGAGGATAAAATAATTCAGCGTTTTCTTTTCATTTTTTTTTCTACTGAGCCTATTTTCAGCATTATTTTGAAGCTTATTTCCTATCTTTTTTCTGTACTTTGGAGAAAAAATGAATTTTTTAATCACTCGAACTTTACCTATCTCTCGATTGCTTGGAAATCAGGAGAATAATTTTATATATATTTTTTTTCAACTGAGAACTGGAATTATTAGGCAAAAAATCTACAGTTCTATTGGCATTTAAAAAAAGAAACTCATCACAAAATGCTAATTATCAGACTACCGAGCAAAATACAGAACTTAAATACTCAACTCTTGATTAGAGATATTGTATTTTAAACAAAGATTACTGATAAATATTTAGAGGTTTCTACAGCTCAAAAGTGATATTTTCAGAAAAGAAAATTTATGTTAACAGAACAAATTCATCAAGTTTCAGGTATTTTGAAAAACTGTGAATTCATATAATTCATTCTCTTGGTTAAACGATCCCAAAATAAGTTACACCCATGGCATTTTCCAAAAACAAAATCACAAAGCTGTTTGGTGTTTAATCACATAATTTCTTGCTTCTTTTTTATCCAAAGCTGCATGCGCAGATCTTCGGTTTCTTTCCATGGCCTTTCAGAACACCGGTCAGTTTTTTTAATTTGTCCTTTGTCCAAATTGGAGAAACGAAAAAGATAAAGTCGCTAGAGAGAGCTTTTTTTAAACAAGGGCGGTTGAAACAATCTGTCAAAAACATTAAGTGAAAAAATTAGTCTGAAAAGACACTCAAGACTCAACAAAAGCAAAAAAAAATTTAACCTAAACTTGTTATTTTTGCTGGAAATGGCTATTGGCTTAGATGAAATAACAAACAAATGGTTGATAACTAATTGCAAATTTAATGTGAAAATTGTAGTAGATTTAAACTTGGAGGTCAGTCTCTAATCAAGTACTTTTCATTTTTTGTCTAATTTAGCCTAAAAAAATTGAGGTAAGTTTTTTTTACACTGAGACAATAATTTTTGAGTTTTTTTAGAATCCGAAAAACTACTGAAACGATTTTAATATGATGCCAAAGTTGACACCCTGCAAATTGTCTTGCATGTATTCAAAAGTGGCTGGAAAAAAAACAGACCCTAAACCCTAGTTCCTTCCTACCACTAAGGGAGTAGTGGTATCAATAAATTGCCAGAAAGTATACAATGTGAAATGTAAAATAGTTACCATATAAAGCAGCCACGAAAACGGAGTAGGTACAAAAGAGCTATATAACAATAGGCAACAGTTACAAAAAATATGAAAGTTTTAGCCTAATTGACGTAGTTTTTGGCTGACGTATATACTATTCCGCCCAAGAAGTTCATGAAAAATAACCGGTCATAATTGATTATATCGGCAATTATAATGGATTTTTAGGGGATTACACCATATACCCTACCAATTCCTGTCACATTGGTAAAAGTAAGGGTCGGTGTTATGTTCATTATCCAAAGCCCCTCGGTTTGGGCGTTAGGTCCAGTAACCAACTAGGAAGTCGGCGTTACGTTCAGTGACCAATCCCTACAACGGTTCAGATGTTATGTTTGGGCGTTACATTCAGTAACCAATCCCCTCCGGACGGTGAGGCAACTAAAAGGAAGCTAAACAGTTGATCTAAAAGAAAATAAATTGGATAAGAGAGGGTGAAACAACAAGTCAACAAAATTTGAGAAATTAAAAATTGTAAGGAAAATTGTGAAGGAAATAAACAGTTTTTTTCAGCCAAAATTTGTCTGCTTTTTGCAGCTTTCTAATGGAACGCGTGTTAAGCCAAAAATAACTCAGTTTGTGAAAACAGAGTAGAAATTTCAGAAAAAAATCCATTATAATTGATTATAATCGATTAAAATGGTTATTATTGATTAGACAAAAAAATTATAATCGATTTTAATTGATTATAATCGAATATTTTTGATTTTCATGGACACTGGCCATGAAAATCTATGATCAGTTATTATCCATCAAACTTCAGTGCGTAATATGACACGACTTTCGGCTGGATCATATAATCTGCCAATTTTCCGCTGGTTTATACTTCGGCTGTTATATTCACACTCAAAACTTTTTTTCTTCGAAGAAGGCGCCGCATGTGAAAGTTATTTTTGTTCTGTAAAATTAAATAAAAAGCAAATTAATGCTGATGCTGATAATTTTCGAAGTTCATTTCAACTCTTAGTAGTTTTGTTTATGTTCATCAACAAGCGTGATCCTCCATTCCGTCATAGAGCTCTTTCAAGTTCTGCAGATGCTGGTGAGATCTGAAGTGCACCTGGAAAAATTAACAAATAACAATGTGCTAATGGAAATTTTTGATTTTTTTCCACATTGCGCTTTTATATCCTAATTCATACAGGGTGCCTCAAAACTGATGAGACTTTTGAAAGGTATGTCATTTGCACCTGAGTTTATTATGCGAACGTGACATTTTGAAAAATGTATTTTTATTAATTTCTGAAAGATCAATTCAATTTTTCCCACCATTTTTTCTAAATGTTTTCTGGATCATATAGTTCAGGCAGCGAACAGTGTTTTCACCATTTTTTGCATTTTTCATCACGATTGCAGCAACAGGACGTAAAAACCAGAGACGCGCAACGCGAAACTTTGGTTTGCAAATTTAAAAGAAATTAGCATACTAGGTTGACCAAAAATTCTTCTCGGGTTTAATGATTGTTGTTCCGATCAAGCTATTCAAGTTAGACCATATCGTCATTCGGTTTCAAATCATAGACCGAATCAGTTAACGAAAAGTTAGGTTTTTCTAGAGACGCTAAGCAGTATACTTTGAAATATTTCAATTTATTTCATAGAGCAAATCTCATGCCGAAAAGTTTCAGTTTTACTCAGCAATCTATTAAAGCTGAGAAACTTGTGAAAGTTTTAAAATGTTCGATGCCAGTCCGCAAAAATTTTTCTTAGCAAGCTATTCAAGCGATGAATTTTTGAAATACATCCAGTTGTTTTTTTTAGATCGACAGTTTTTGCGGAAATTTAAAGTTTTCCTATGCAAGCTAACCAAGCATTGAAACTGAAAAGTTAATTCACGAAGAGAGAGGAAAAAAATTTTAGGTCTTGAATTGGAGCCACTTAATCGACTATTGAAACTATGCAACTTTGAAACAAGTCAAGCTATTTCGTGAAGCAATCGGCTCGCGGAAGTTAAAAAATTTCCATTAAGCCTCTCAAGTGATAAAACTTGAAATACTTCAAATCATTTTATGGAACAAACCAGCTCGAAATATAATAGTTTTTCTTAAGCAAATTATTTAAGCTGAAGTAAATTGAACGTTTCAAGTTATCTCATGAAACTAATCATTTGGCGAAAAGTTAAAATTTTTTCAGAAGGCTTTTCAAGCGAAGAATTTTTGGAATGTTCCCATTATTTTTCATAGAGTAAACTGGCACGCAAAAACTGAATGTTTTATCAAGCAGCTATTCAAACTAAGAAACTGTCAAAATATTTTATAGAGCAAATCAAATCGCAAAAAAATCGAATTTTTCTGAATCAAGATATTCAAACTATAAAAATTTAAAACAATTCAAGTTTTTTCAGACCAAATAAAAAGAAATTTTATAAGCCAGCTATGTAATTACAATATTTCAAGTTATTTCATTAGGGAAAATGGATGCAAAAAGTTTTTTTTTTTTTGAAGCACTTCAAATAATCAAACTTTGAAATATATTTAAATAACAAAAAAAATGAAAAAGAAGCTTTGAAAGATCGCTTATGAAATACAGTCAGCTATAGAGAGCCAGCTATAGAACGCCAGCTAGAGTTTAAAAATAGTCTCAAGAGTTGCCCATTGTGGGAGATTGAAAAATCTCATTTGAGATCTGCTTATGGCCAAGTTTCAGTTCTGCTTCCAAAACGGTAGATTACCCATTTTCTAATCATGACGTTTTTCGCATTCGAGATTCTAATTATTTTTTGCATAAAAATTTAAACTCAGGAGACAAAAATCGAGTTAACTTTGTCTGAACTTTTCAATGATGATAGTGCAAAAACTTGAAAAAATTGAGGAGCTTTTATTGTTGATCGCTCTCCAAACATAGATAAGTTCTTTATAAAAGCTACCAAAATCGAAAAAGAGTCATTTTTTACTCTCTTCACTAACATTGAATCGGAAGTATAGAGCGAATAGTGCAGTGATGACTATGAAGAGGATGGAGAACAGTCGGTCTAGGATGTCTGCTAGTATCATCCACTGCACTTTCGTCACCTCCCTCACAGCCTCCTCTCTCGTCTTCGTCAGGAAGTCACACAGAGTCGCCTCCATCGCTCTACATAGCAACAGGAAGCGATAGATAGTTAAGTTGTCTTTTCTACATAGGCAACAGAAAAGACAATTTGGGTCTTTTATGTTATACGGCCCAAATTGTCCAACTTGTCAGTTAGGCTTGTTTGTATCGAAAACGCCGAGATTTCTTTTTGCTCTCGATTATAATTTCAGCCAATCAGATTTGAGCATCATTATCAAACATTCACTAAAGCAAAATAATATATTTTTTGGACCGTATAACAGAAAATACCCGGGAACAGAACCGAGATGAACACTATTTGCATTTAAAAAAAACCTCTCTTTTCGTGAGTGCTAAAACTCTAACTGCAGTCCCTGATAGAAAAACACAATGATCGAAAGCAAATCTGAACTGGGAGCTCAAAATTTTCGATCATCTCTAAAAAGCAAGAAACAACTTAGCGCAGTCAATTCAATATTTTTGGCAAAGACAAAATAGTTCAATCGGGCCGAAATGTGTTGCGAGCTTGCCAGAACCGTTATAACTATTTGAATTGCTATTGAAAATTAATGACTCCAGATCAAGCGTTAAATTCTCTATTATTCACATTCGTTTCTTATCTCTATAAGTGTTATTCAACACTTTTAAATTCCAATTATTTGAAAAATGTTGCCTTAGGATGTTGTGAATGAAGTTCTGCACAGAGGGAGAGAGGTACTGCATCGATCCCTCGCCCAGATTGTCTTCTGTCGGATCTGAGAAATCTGAAAACAGCAGCCTTCAAAATACTTCATATAAACTTAGTTATTGGATGATCAATGATTATATAGGTAATCATATAAAACCTCTAGTCGAACAGCAGGAATTAACAAAAGTTCAAAATTAGTTTTTAACGCAATGCTGTGAAGACCAGCAATTTATTCTTCGGAACATTTTTTGGATCTGATAAACATTTAAGGAACTCTAAGTTTTCTGGATTCTAAATCAGAATTCTTTTATAAAAAGTATCTCCTTTTATGAAGATTGTTAAGGAGACTGATTTAGTCAAATTTAGCACAAATCAGAATTTCAGATTTGCCCTAAATTTGACGAATGGAAACAGTTCAAAACAAGTTGCAGAGCAAATCACTGTAAATCACTGTGAATTTATTGTTGGTTTTGGATAAAATACCGAGATTGTTTTCCGAAGTTGATCATCTGTTATAGGGCTGGGAGTATCGGGAATGTTACTAGAGAGAGGGGAAAGAATGGGGGTTGTATCGGTATAGGAGGAGCTGGATGTGGAAAGTAGTGCGGGAAATGGGGGAGTTATTGGGACGAAAGGTGGTTGTGAGTAGTTAGTGGGGCGCAAGTTGCTTGAGACACCTGGAAGACCGGGAGGTATTTTTGTGGTTTTTAGCATTACCTCATGCGAACAGTTGATGTCGCGCTCTTTAGGAATGAGGAAGTTAAAGATGAGATGAAAGTGACCAAATTTAGTAAAAGTTGATTCATATGATTTTTTATTTTTGATCAATAACGTGGTCAAATTTTTTGTTAGTGCTATCTAAGTCATATAGATAGTCGGTTTTAAAACAGAATTTTTGTAATAGTTGTGAGTTAGCTGCCGGATCCGCGTCGTAAGGTGAGTCTTCCATATAGCGGATGACTATGTTATCGTTGTGGGTGACGGGAAATTGATTAGATCTTCGTACGATAAAGCGACTAGGTACATACGATAGTCCAATACTAGTGAATCGGTTGAGTTTTGTTTTGTATGTGGGAGCCGAAGGTCTGTGAAGACATCGCTTCGCCAGCTCTATCGTGCCCTTCGGATATTCAGTCATGATTGACAGGTCCACTCTGTAGTCGCCGAATATATCGTGTCTCGCTGCCATTGTAACGGGGCGCGCGAATATCCAGTGGGCAAGGGTTTCATTGTCTTCGCCGCACCTCTTGTATTGCGGACAAGTCGTCAGATTCATCGAATGATTATACGCTGCCAACTGGATTGGTTGAATTGTAGTGCATTAGTGAAATGGTAAATGATGATGGTTTAAGCTTCGTCGTCATCGTCGTTTCTTTTTAATGGTATCAAAAAGAGTTGGTAAAGTGATAAAAGGATATCCAGGAGAGTGTAGGTACAAAAAAGTTTTCATTTCATCTACATAGGTGTTACGTTGGCTTTGGGGTTTGGTTTTGTCAGAGGAGTATTGAGGGGAAAAGGGGAGGTTTTCAAGCAAAAACGAGTATGTCTCGGTTAGTATGTCTAGGATTCTGAGAGTGTTAGTATGTCTAGGATTGTTACTAAGTGTGAGTCTTCATGATGATGGTCGGTTTAGTAAGTACCTAGATGGGTTAGTAGGGTAATTTATCTTCATGAGGATGCATTGTGAGCAAGTAGGAGCGTTGAGAAAAGATGACGTGGCCGTTTCAGATGGTGAAGCTGAGTGGATTACTTGATGGATAGTAAAGTGTCGGTCAGCAATGTGAATTTATTGTTGGAGTTGGATAAAATAGTGGAAGACATGTTCAAGTTGATCATCAGTCATATGGATGGGAGTATTGGAAATGTTACTAAAGGAAGGGGAAAGAATGGGTTTCGCATGGGTATAGGAGGAGCTGATTGTGGAAAGTACTACGGGAGTTGGGGGAGTAGTTGGGACAAAAGTTGGTTTTGAGTAGATAGTGGGGCTGGGTTCACAGTCCAAAAATTTGTCATGGGTGTCAATGGCGGGATTATTTAGAGAGTTACGAGCATCAAAAATGGTTTGTGTAGAATCATCAGAGTGCATGTGAGGTGGGTTAGATAGAAATGTAGAAAAAATGGGGCTAAAAACTGGCAAGGGAGAAGAAGAGAGATCGGAAATGGAAATGACTGAATGTTGTGGTTGAAGGTTGGAGGGATAAGAGAGAGAGAACGGCTGAGGGATTCAACTTAGTGGCTCATCGTGGGCTGAAAACATTATTGTTCTCAGAACGAAAAATTATTGTCTGCTGTTGTTCTATGATTTGCGCTGTGACTTGTTTTGAACTGGTTCCAATAGTCAATTTTCAGTCAAATCAGAGATTCTAACTCTACTTACTTATTATACTTAACAACCTTCATGAAGGGAGGGGTTTTCGAGTATAGATCTATATATGAATAGTCTCAAATTCGACTAACTTAATCCCTACTTTTAAAAGGGACGAGATTGTGAAGTAGATCCAATTTTATATTTGAACAAACTTTCAAATGAAACTTCAGAATGATATTTCACCTGTGTTTGTGTGTTGACTTGAGTGGTTTTTCGTGGCTCTGTTGGTGGTGAGAATAGTGATGTAGGACGCGAGTTGTTTGAGACACCTGGCAGACCTGAAGTTGTTCTCGTGCATCTTCCGCATGTAGCTCCTCTCAGACTTCAGAGTCAGCATGCACATACAACCCACTACAGTCTTCCACACGAACTAAAAACAGAACCAAGTTAATTACACGTGAAATTTATGAGAAACGTGAAATCAAACGTGAAATTATCATTGTAAAAGTGTGCAATTATGTAACTTCTATCAGGCTTATGATTTTCAGAAACTGATATCTCTAGAAACGAATATGAAAGGGAAGGGCTGAGCTGAACCCAAACTTTAAAATTTATCTAAAAGTGCCCCTGCTGAATTATTTTTTAAATTAGATTTCCCTCTTTGGTGCTAATTTTCGAGATACATTTTAGGTCACGGACCCTAAATTTCTTATGGAGGCATCAAACATTTGCATGCGGCGCAGAAAGTTTTGGCAATTTTTGGCAAACTTCAATTGCGTTATGTCCCCCCCCCCCCCCCCCCCCCCCCCCCCAGAAACAAAAGCTTAGATCTGCTTCCGACCTTTACAATGAAATATACAAGATGATGTTTTAAAAGTGTCCAATCCCTCCACCACAGATCTTTCTCCTCTCTTGGATTGAACAAATTTCCTAATCAAGCTTTCAATGCTAAACTTTCAAGTTAAAACATATCTGATTATTCCACCTCCCCCTAGAAAAACAGAAAAACAGACTGGGGATGACTAAGTTTTTGGTACTTTTTTGCAGAGATTATGAAAGTTTATGTGGCTTCGATAGCACTCAGCGGTCATCTCAAATTACGCTGTTTAGTATATAAGAGGATTCTATTTCAAGAAATTAGCTTCTCTTGCTTGGGGAAAGGTAAATTTTAGGATGTGCCATGTAACTGAAAATGCATCCTATAACTGGATGGCAACTAAAATAAAGCTGGCCTTAACTGAAAATAGGGGAAGAAAAAAAGATAAATCTGGACTGTGTTATGCACGGGCGGATTTAGGCGAGGGGGGGGGGGGAAGGGCGCGGACTTATCAAATTTGCTGAGCTGAATCTGATTGCTCATGGGAAAGCTGCCTACAGTTTCGAGAATTTTGTCGACTTTTTGTTTCGAGAATTTTGTCGACTTTTTTTAGGTAGACAAAACTGATTTTCTGAGCTCTCCTAAAGCATTACAAAGAACGTTTTGGCCGAAATCTCTGCGCCGCAGGTCAATTTTAAACTGTTTAGTTTTGATATAATTGGAGCTGATTTACTGCCTCATTTCAAAGAAAAACCTTGAAGGCAAGTCACTATTCGGCTTCTTGGGATTTTAATACGCTTTAAGAGTTTTTAGCATTTTAATACATATTTTAATACGTTATCATAGATCAACGAGCTTGAGATTATCAAAGAAGCTTGCTGCAGATTCAAACGGATTTTGGAAAATCCTATTTGAATTATATGCTTCATTTTTAAAATGTTAACAAGACTGCTCGTATCAGGGCGAAACCCTGAAAGTTCCGACTGCCTTTTAAGGTCTATGGAGCATTAATAAGGTGAAAAATTTCAATGTAATAAAAAAAATATAAAATTTTTCTTGAAAAAATTTGAGATTTTTTTCTAAAAAAACATCCCCCCACAAGTCATATTAAGTACAAAGTGATAGATTTTGCGCCTATTAACAAATCAATTATGGTATATAAGCTTCTTTGAACCAATTTGGAACGATTTCTAAGACGGATTACATCTCGCTTACGCGTTAATAGCGCGAAATTTATTGCGCGTTAATTGTCCCAAATTGGCCAAAATGGCAATCTTTAAACCCCCATAACTTTACAACTTTCAGCTCAGGACAACAATTTTTTTTGAAAGCTTCAAAAAAGGCTAGGTGAAAAGTCGAAATTTGTCTGAAGAAAAACCCATCCCGAGCACAAATATTCCGTTACTTTCGTATCGAAAGTCGGAACAATTACTTTCGTATCGAAAGTCGGAACAATGACAAAATTTGGATTTCGGAGAGGAATTCGATTTTATTTTCAGACGAGCAAGGTAGATACCGATCCCAAGGTCTTGCACAGGGGGAGTTCAACAGTGCTGAAGTACGGTGGAATCCCTCATGCGCGAAGGACCGAATGCGTGAAAATAAAAATCAGCCAATCAGATTTCAGTAATCTAAAATTTGGAAAAAAAGTAAACATTTTCAGGGACTGGAGTATTGATATTGGCCGAAACTAAAAACGGCAGAAATATGCAAAATCTTCAAATTTTTCTTTGACCGCCGCAAAAGTGGTACAAATTTTACATTTCAAGGGTTTCGTAATGAAAGTAGCAAAATATTGCTTCATTTAATTCATTTTAACTGAATGGCAGATGTTTCTGTTTAAAAATTGACTTTCGGCTAATTTTGTCTTCGGTCCTTGGCCTACATGTTTTTTCGCCCATTCGGACCTTCGCACATGAAAAAAGCCCCCCCCCCCCCGAAGTACAACAGTGCCGAAAAAGGCGGGAAGACTTCAGAATTATTTACACGCATTTTCTAAAGAGCGGGAAATTACTGACGCTAATTATCAAACAAAATTACTCCAATTTCAGCGCCAAAATGCCTGCAACAGCAAATTAAACAATTGTTTTGGCGCCAAAACGTCTAAATTGCAATTTTTTTCTTCCAAAATTTTTAAGTGCCTCTTAAGATTGTAAACGATCCCTGATTAATCTTTGATTGCCGCACTTAATATGTTGAAATTTGTTGTTGTTCCGACTTTCGATACGAAAGTAACGGAATATTTGTGCTCGGGGTGGTTTTTTTTCTTTAGACAAATTTCGACTTTTTAACTAGCCATTTTTGACGTAATTTTTTTATATCATTCAAAAATTATTGTTGTCTTGAGCTCAAATTTGAAAAGATATTTCACCTGTGGTCATTTTTTGTAAAGTTACGGGGGTTTAAAGATTGCCCTTTTGGCCAATTTGGGACAATTAACGCGCGATATATTTCGCGCTATTAACGCGTAAGCGGAGAGTTAATCCGTCTTAGAAATCGTTCCAAATTGGTTAAAAGAAGCTTATTTGCCATAAATGGTTTGTTACAAGGAGCGAAATTTATCTTTTGTACTTTATATCGTGTGTCGGGGGATGCTTTTTATTACATTTAATTTTTAAATGTTAATACTGCTCCATAAACTTTAATAGGCAGTCGGAACATTCAGGGCTTCGCCCTGATACGAGCAATCTTGTGTAGTTTTTATGGCGCGTGGGGGGATGATTTTCACAAAAATTTCAAATTTAAGAAATTTTTTTTTTTCATTTTGTTTTATTACATTTAATTATTTTAAGTTATTACTGCTCCATAAAACTTGAAAGGCAGTCGGAACATTCAGGGCTTCGCCCTGATACTAGCAGTCTTGTTCAAATTTTCGGCACTGTTGAACAAAGTTTTCATTTTCGGCACTGTTGAACAAAGTTTTCATTTTCGGCACTGTTGTACTGCCCCTCTTGCACATACGGCTTTGAGCCTTGTGATCAATTGGCAAATTTTATAAATAAATGAATAGTAAACAAATTATTACAACCTGAGGAATAGGCATTGGTTCCATGGCAGAACTGTGAATTAGCAGAATGACCACATTGAGGATAACTGATAACCCGACAAGTATGATAGCCGACAGGAAAAACAACCCAATGACTGGAAAGTTGTCACTCGAGTTGGGCACAAACTGACTGATTAGGGATAAGTTTAAAACGAGTGAGAGTAAAATTGTGATGGCAAAGCAGATTTTTTCGCCACACGCGTTCGGAAGTGTGAACGAAAACAGCGCCATAACTGAAAAAAACGTTCTCTTTTTCCTCCAAATTACACTCTTTTTAAAGAATTATTTCGAGATCATTTTTGATCTATTTGTTTTATCCCCAAAAACTACACGGACCAAGTTTGGAAATCGAAATAAAACAAGTGGTCTCTGAAAAAAGAAGGGTCCAGCAATTGCTTATTGCGAGTTCAATTGGCTCACGGAGGAGGGGCGCGGAGACAGACTACGCCATGCCATGGTTCGACCCCTGACCAATCATCCATGACAGTTTTAAGAACGATAGTAAAAGGGGGAGCTGAGTTCAGTTGTGATGGCTAAATGATTCCAATAGACCGCTCTTTAATATTGTACGACATCCATTTTGTCCCAACAACCAAAAAAAACTATTTTTAAAGACGATTTTGATGCCAATAAGCACAAATTTTTAGCGTACATGGCGTGGCAAAAAACGCAACCCTCCGAAACGGCATTTTCGCAAAAAAATCTAAAAAGCCGAACTAAAAAAATCGACAAAAATTACGACTTTAATTTTAAATCCGTCCCTACTCTCTTGTGAAAATTATAGATCCACCTTTCATTCACCCAAACAATACTTGATTGAGATGCCATCATGTCCGTTATTTTTTCCTTACGATTAAATAAATTTAATTCAGAAAAAGTCATTGTCGTCCACAATATGATCAAAAATTGAAAGTTCAGTTTTGTTTGGTTTTTGGAGGAAAAAGAGATGATATGATTGGTGCCTGTGATGATGTACAAGGGCATGAGTAGACTGCATTCGTAGAAGAGAGCTCGTCGCTGGAAGGAGAACACGAAGTGGAGTCTGGAGTGGTTCCTCAGGTTGATGTGGACCACCTCTCGCAGTGTCTTCGAGTGGATCAGGTTCCACTCAGGGTGGTCGTGGATCTGGCGAAACACGAGACGCATCCCCACCACCTGCAGGCAACGAATAATCCTAGGAAACATTCCAGAAATTGTTTCTTATACTTATTGATTCGACCACTTCACAAAAGACTGCAAGGAACTATGGCGTAAATTGTTCACAAACCCCTGCTTTAGTAGCCCAGGGAAAGCTCGCAAGGTGCGAACTGTAGTATCATTATGAAGCCGTATTGGACATAATTTGAATGGTTCTAAAGACTGCTTTTTCGCATCAAGAACGAACACCTCATTTGAAACAAAGAAAGATTTTCCCCTTTAAATCATTCGAACGGTTGGTTGATTTATATTAAGTCTTTCACCACATAGAGAATTTTATCTTTTTCTCGAAATCATAAAAACATTTTATTCAAATGGTCAAGGTGGTTGACGCATAATCTTGATGTGTCCTGAATTCATTTAGAATCAA